GCTGCAGCGCTCGCCGTTACGCTCTGTGCCTCCCTGCCCAGCCTGCCGCCGAGCTCCTTGGCTGCAGTCCATGGCTGGAAGCAGTTGTCTCCTCTGCTGCATCTCTCAGGCCATTTGTTCTCCGGCCCAGGGGCTGCTGCCGGATGAAGGCTAAGTGTGCCAGCAGCAAGGACTCTCCAGGAGTCCAGAGACGCTGCCTCTCGAAGGGCAGCAGTATCGCACCTCGGTGCCAGGGGGAAGTCAGGCTGACACCATGGCTGCTCCCCAAACTGCTCTCCCAGCACTTCAGCGGTCTGCAACCACAAGCCGGGAAAGCTTCACACACAGTGTGACAGAGTCACAAAAATTGAGGCAAATTCTCTCAGGGACAGAGCCATGCTGGATATGAGACCTCCCATCCAAGCTGGCCACTGGCCATGACGAGCTCCACACGTCAGAGGCTACGGTGAGGGAAGCCTCTGCTCGTGTGTCAGGCCAAATCAGCACATGGAAAATGCCTTGCAAAGGGACTTGAGGATCTGCCCTGAAAAAATCCAGCCTGCCCTCTGGGACACGGTACTGCAGAGAGGAAACGTGTCAGGTCCCTCCCTGGAAATCCCTCCCCATCCCTTGGCAGGGAAAGTGCTCTCCACGATGTTTCCTCAGCAATTGTAGCACCTTATTTTGAGAGACAGTTCCAGTGCCCAACTTCTGCTAGAATGTGTGACGTGGATCAATCTGGTGGGGCAGGGATGAAGAGGAGGGAGGTGGAAAATAAAGCTGTTGGGTGAGAAAGCCCAAAAACTCATACTCTCTCATAAAGGTCACTGTCCTGCTGCAGAGATGGCTGCAAGCCTAAGTAACCATGGCCTCGCATTGCCTTGGTGGTACTCGGCTGTGTTTTTGCCAGTTTGAACTCATCTGGTGACATTTTAATTCAAGCAAACGACTTCCCCCCTTTCTTCCTTCCCAGTGATTTACCTGGCAGCGCTGCTGCGGTGCGTTGTGTACCTGCATGTACAAGCTGCAATTTGCTGTTTCAGTGCTCCAGTTTCCCCTTCTGGCCCAGCCTCCCCCATTAGACTACAACTCCCATGATGAGCCATCATCTCTCCTTGTAATGGAAAGCTATTTGCAGCCTGGGACTCCTGAGTCTTTTGGGATACTGGGTGTTGCTTTCTGGATACTCTTCTAGATTTTCCCAGCTGCTGCAGGAAAACAGTGGTTTGAGAAGATCATACTCCAACTCCATACCCTCAAGGAACCCCAAGGTCCCACTATGGTCTTCTCTAGTGGATGAAAAACGCTAACAGAGAGCCAAGCCTCACTTCCTTTACTCAAAATAACACATCCTTAGGAGGAAGCCCTGAAAAATAAAGATACCCAGCCCTCTGCATGGAAAAGTCTGGCCAGTTCCTCAGGGAGACCCCAGTATCCCCCAGACTTCACCTGGTAAATGGCTTCGTCACAAGCGTTCTGCAGGCCCAGGTTCACCATGGTGTTCTGCAGAGTGCGGCCCATGTAGAACTCCAGGGACAGGTAGTAAATGCGCTGGGGAGACGAAGCAAGACACTTACACACAGCACAGCACTTATCACCAAAGTAGCTTAAAATTAAGAGCAGACCCAAGTGCTTTCCAGAGTAGGGATGTCTTCCCAAACAGGCTCTTGGCGCCTGCTCCTGAACACCACGCACCACAGCTTGTTTGTCAGAAGGACCTCGTGCGGGACGCTAGCCAACCCTCTGCCGCACGTCTCCCTGCCAACAGCCTTCTATAGAAAAATCTCGTTGCCTGTTAAGTGTTTCCCTAATTAACTCAGGGCAAGAGCTATCTAGGATGCTGAGTTGTATATTTATACACCGTCAAGCTCAGCTGAGGTGATGCTTACACTGGGCTTTTAAAAGTTTTCCCATGCTGAGCTGAAGCTGATCCAGAACCTGCTGAAAGCCGGGACAAGCCCCTCGCCCCGCACACGCCGGCCGGGCTCAGGGCTAGTTCCCTTCCCACCAGTGATTTTCCAGTGCTCCCATCACACACGTCCTCCTCTCCTCCCCGCGCCGAGTTTCACGCACGCGTTTCACCCTGTGGAACAAACACACCGTCCCACGGGTGGCCGGGCTCCCAGCACGACTGTGCAAGACAGGCTGCTCTGCGGTGACCTTCCAAGTTTCAGAGGAGCTGTGCCTGTGCCTCGACTGCTAATGAAAGGATGTTTGCAGGATGAGAAGCCGGCTCTGCAAACTTTTGCCCTCCCTCAGATTTATCGCTGGAGATATTTTTATAAATAAACAGGAATTTTTAACAAAGCAATAGAGCACTGGGACAGGCTGCCCAGGGAGGTTGTGGAGTCTCCTTCTCTGGAGACATTCAAAACTCGCCTGGACGCCTTCCTGTGTGATCTCATTTAGGTTTCTGCTCCAGCAGGGTGATTGGACTAGATGATCTTTTGAGGTCCTTTCTAATCCCTGACATTCTGTGATTCTGTGTGATTCTGTGTGAATAGTCTGACTTTAAATCGTGTTTCCCCTGGAATTGCTTTCCTTCGTAGCCGGGACCTTTCCCCGCTAAGCAGCGGGATTACCCGCTCTGCCACCTCTGCTGGGAGTCTGAAAGGGTCCATTGGAAACACTGAAAACATCCCACAGGTGCATAAATACTCTGCTCCTTTCTGTTTCCCGCAGGGACATGTTTCTAGTGAAAATCTAAGCGCACAGGACAGTGAACAAACCCACTCACTCCATCTGTACAGTCCCTTCTGTCAGCGCAGCGATAGGGATCCGAGCACATTTGTGAGGATAACAGGGAGAGCTCCACACACCTGTGTAACTCCCAGTGCACATGCAACGGGACCGGCGTGAAAGCGCAGTTTGTTCCTTGTGCCAAGGCAATATTCATAACCTCGAGGAAAGAGCTGACCTGGGGAGGCAGCTGCCTGCACGCCGGGAAGGTATGTGCCTTTCCTCAGACACACCTGCCCGCTGGGGCTCTCCAGTTAAGTGCTGGATCAGGTCTTAATTCAAAAGGATTAAGGCTGAATAATGTCCCACAGCACCCGACATCTCCAGCATCACCGTCCTGACTTGACAAGTTGGGGGGAGAGGAGGAAGCAAGCCGAGTCCCCTGGGAACCACCAACTCCCCAGCCTTTGGTGACCTGGGAGAGCTTGTCTGGTTTGTACAAGGCAAGAAACTCCTCTCCAGCCCCCAAGCCAAGCTGCCTGTGGGCTCTGCAGGAGTGAAGCCAGGACAGGGCTGTGCCGAGGCATATGCCAAGATGTGGAGGTGACGATGCCCACAGGGGACACCGCCATGGTGGTGTGAGTGCAAGACATGGCCACAGTGAAGTGTGTAGAGGAGCTGGCAGCAGCAAGGCCCATGTAAAGACACACTCACAGCAGGATCACAGGGGACATGGCTGCAACGAGATGCAGGGGGTCACAGTGGTGGGGTTGCCCAAGGGGGGACAAGGCTGCAGCAAGGCTCATTGAGACAGGGCTGCCAAGAAGCTTGTGTGGACACAGCCATGGCAAACTGCATGAGGGACATGGCCGTGGTGATGCCCACAGGGTCACAGCCATGCAAGATGTGTGCAAGGGACATGGGTGGGGCAAGGCCCATGGGGACACAGCCATGGTTAGGTGCACAAGGGACATGGCCATGGCGATGCCCACAGGGACACGGC